TCCATGTTTTTAGATTTAAAGCTGATGAAAGATTCCTTTCTTTCTAATGTGAAACCTGAATAAAGCATCATGGTGTCACTCAATGCTAAAATGCTGTATCGCTCATAGATGGACTTTTGACTATAAAGGGACAATATTTCAAAAGTGATATATAATATAAACCTACACAATCTTTGTACCCTTAGTGGATAAAACACATTTATGACATTATGGCATCTGAATGCAATATATCTGTCCAACAGCACCCTCTGCTACAACAGGACACAACACGTGGTTATTTTACCATTTCATATATTTTGTTTGTGTGTCATGCCAGACAACTCTAGGCAACCTTTTATACACCACTTCAATTAGTTACTTTTTTATTTTTAAAACTGTCATAAATAGTTTTGTCAATACATAATAGACATACACAAACCACTGCATAAAAACATGTACACACAACTCATAGATACATACTTAAACACAACAGAACAGTATTTCAGACGGCAGAAAGGGAATTGTCCGATCAGCCTTTGTCCAATCACAGACTCAGTATGCTCCATGGTAGTCTGACTTGTCGAGGCTTTCTCTTCTCCTTAGCTCGGTTCCGATATGTTTTGTTTTGTTACAACTGTTCATTATTGTCTGATGTATTACCACGGTGCATCTGGTCTTCCATATCTGCATACAAGGGACGCAGAAGAAAACACTTTGGTGCTTTCAATAAGTGATAGAATATATCCACCATATTTGTATTCATTTATTTAAAACAAATATATATATACTTGGAAGTCCATTCCATTTAAAGGTGTATATTCATTTATGAAATCAGCATATACTAATTTGTAATATGAGCCATGTCTCGCTCTACCTCTTCTTTTTGTCCACCTTGATTTATCCCCAACCCAGGGTGCTTTCCTTGATATTGCCGCTGTAAACATTTTAACAAAAGTCAATTTAAGTTTAATATCTAGGTCTACGTCTCCAAATACGCCTCCATATTCCCTTCTTTTAAATAATAAATTACGTTGAGTAACCTCCCTCGTTGTGCCCCACACCAAATGTACGTGTTTGTTTAATTATTTAATTATTTGGGAGGGGTTCAATCAGTTTATTCTCCCAATTTAGGTCATCACAGTTTTCATTACAGTCAAACCAAGTATTTTTATTTCTTGTTTAATTTAATTTAAACGTTAATGGCATAAGTTAAGTTTCCTCTATTATATATTTCAGATTTGTTATGATAATTCCCGGTTTAGTCAGTTTTCAAATTAGAAATATTTTCTTCACCCGTTTTAGATTTAACTTGAATCTGTTTTAAAATAATATACTGTTTGATTAGAGTAACATATTGACTATTTGTAGCTTTATTTAATTCTCTACATTTGAATTTAAATAAATGTTTTATCCTATGTTTTAATGTTTCCCATAATCCACAGGATTGTACCATTATCACATCCTGAGAAATTGTGGATTTGTTCACATTTTAGTATCACTAATTCTTATAAATATTTCCTTTATCGAATATGGACCCTTAAGTTCTCTTAAGTCAGCACTAATGTACTTTGAACATAGGTTTCCCTGCAAACTGAATTTCAGTGGATACACATGAAGAATTGTTATTGCTCGAAGCAATCGAAGAGAAATGTCGGCTCAGAATTTTGGATACAATGCTGCAATAACTTAATATTTATATACAATATTATATACTATTGTCCTGCAGTCTAGTAACACTATGGAGTGGCCTTGGCTCCATACTTGCTCCATCCTTCTGTCATTCCAGTGCCTTGCAAAAGTATTCAGCCCCCCTGGCCTTTTTCTTGTTTTATTGCACAAAAACATTTAATTCAATTAGATTTTTGCAGATGTTGTTTGTATTGATGTACACAACATGAATCTTTGAAGATGCAAAACATATTTTTCATTGTGAAAAAAACAAGAAATAAAAATGAATAAGAAAAAACGTTTGCGTGCATAACTATTCACCCCCCCAAAGTCAATACTTAGTAGAGCCACCTTTTGCAGCAATTACAGCTGCAAGTCTCTTGGGGTATGTGTCTATAAGCTTGGCACATCCATTTTGGGGAATCTTCCACATGGCTTTTGGTGAACTCCAAACGTGTTTTCTTGTTTTTTTTCCTTAAGCAATGGCTTCTTTCTGGCGACTCTTCCATAAAGCCCAGCTCTGTGGGGTGTACGGCTTACTGTGGTCCTATAGATTCTCCTCTCTCTACTGTGGTGCTAACCAGCTCCTTCAGGGTTATCCATGACCTCTTTGTTGCCTCTCTGATCAATGCTCACCTTGCACAGTGTGTTTGGTTGGCGGCCCTCTCTTGGCAGGTTTGTTGTCGTGGCATATTTTTTCCATCATGAAACAATGGATTTAATCGTGCTTCGTGGGATGTACAAAGTTTGTGAGGTTTTTATATAACCCAACCTTATTTATACTTATCCACAACTTTGTCCCTGAACTGTTTGGAGAGCTCCTTAGTCTTCATCGTGTCGTTTTCTTGCTAAGTATTGCCACTTGTTAAGTGGTGTGGGAGATTTGGGCCTTCTACAACAAGTGTATACATACAGATATAATCATACATTTGATTGCACAGGGGTTAAGTTAGCTTTATTTAAATAATGTTTTGACTCTGGAGGTCATTGTTGGGGCTAAATAGCAAAGAGGGTGAATACATGTGCACACACAACTTTTCAGTTTTTCATTGTTTAAAACAGGATCATTTGTATTTTCACTTCACCAATCTTGACTGACTTTGTGCAGGTTCATGACATAAAACCACAATCAAAATATTGAATTATTATTGGCTTTAATAATAGAAAATAGAAAAAGAGCCATGGGGGTGAATACTTGTGCATGGCACTGTATGCCCTGTTTTCATTTGGCTCTACTGTAGACCTGCAAGTGAATCTACCTCTTATGATGTACCAACAACACAAAGGCTCTGCCACCCACTGCATCTGAACACCTACTCCAAACATTTCCTTTCGAGGCATGTCTCTATATGATTAATGACATCGACTTATCTTTCAATCTCATAAGTGACACAAATCATGAATATGTTTTGTTTTAATCTTCTGTCAGAAGTATAAACTGGATGAATAAATACTTTTTGAATCGTAATCATACTCTCAGAAAAGGAGTTTGACCCTTCTCAATTGTTTCTATCTAAACCCTTCTAAAGACTTGATACGATAGCATATCATTATTAGAGCTAAACAGTAGTTATATTGTTTTTATTTGTTTAAAAAAATACAATCTGTCAAAACTGTTTCCATGAGGCAATACCATTTTCTAATAAATAGTTTTCTCTACTAAAGTATCTTTTAAATGTGTACATTAAAAGCTTTAATTGACCAAACTTATAACATTTTGTGAGAGCTGAAATATGTTATAAATTGAAAAAGTCCATGATTATTTGTCTGTTACTTTATATTTTATATTTAACATGAACAATTTGGTACATTTCTTGATGGTCACACACCCAAACCTAAATACAGTGTATACATTCAGGTGTTTCTATTGGACTAATTCTTACTTTTATGTCAAATTGTTGACATGTTTTATGTATACAAATGTATGTCTTGACTCATCAGAAACAGAATGAAAGTCTCCTATAAAGAGTATTTTTTGAAAACTTTGATCAACTTTAAATGTAATGTTAATCTCAGAAAGGCTCTTATTTCAATTATAAATGTTATTAAGCATGTGAGGGTTTTATTACATATTAACACACGTTTAATCATCAAATGCTTAGTATAAAGCCTGACTGAATTATATAAACAATATTAGAAGGAAGAGAAAATGTTTTGAAAGATAATGTGGAGGCTGCAGCGTTGGCCCCGCCCAGCCGCTTTCCCGCTCTCCGTCTTCTCTTAGGTCCGCAGTGAATGTATAAATACTGCCGGTCATTCTGCTTCTACTCAGTCGTTCTGAACGAGTCGACAAAACAATACCTGAAAATGAGTGGAAGAGGAAAAGGAGGAAAGGGACTCGGCAAAGGAGGCGCCAAGCGCCACCGTAAAGTGCTCCGTGATAACATCCAGGGCATCACCAAGCCCGCCATCCGCCGTCTGGCTCGCCGCGGCGGAGTGAAGCGTATCTCCGGTCTGATCTACGAGGAGACCCGCGGGGTGCTGAAGGTGTTCCTGGAGAACGTGATCCGTGATGCCGTCACCTACACCGAGCACGCCAAGAGGAAGACGGTGACCGCCATGGATGTGGTGTACGCCCTGAAGAGGCAGGGCCGCACCCTGTACGGCTTCGGAGGTTAAACATCTACACCCTGACATACCTGGAACAACAACGGCTCTTTTAAGAGCCACCCACATTACTCAAAAAGAGACATTCCTTTTGATGAACTTTATATCGAACCTAAACTCCAACTCTGAAATTCTTGATAGGATACTGGATATTACAAATGTAGACTATTTCACAATGTTGTTTATCCGACATCCAATGATATGTTCGTAGAGGATAAAGTCTCCACAACTACAACCACGACTGCTCCAAAAACTTCTTCCAGCTCTGGGGTTTCTTACACTTTTGAAATATGTTTTAATGGTGAAATACACCGGGATATTAAGGACTAACTCGCTTATAATGAATACATTTGTATTTATTTTAGGATCTTAAAATCATACGTATTGGGATTCATGTGGACTAGAGGGTGACAAGCATCACTTTCACCTCACTTTTTTATTTAAATTCCAACCTTGGTCATGAAAAATATGTGTTTCTCTGTTGTCCACGTTATACATAGTTAAAAACATATGAAAGAGTTAAAATGAAAACGATTTGTTGAATTATTCATGTACAACACATTATAAAACCCCAATAATACAAATACATAATCAATGGGGGTTCATTTTACATGTCATCCAATCTGTTTTGATTCTAAAACTCGTTAGGCGCATGCGCCGTCCTGCTCAGAAGACAACCAATCCCGTGCGAGCAACAGCTCAGTAACATTTGCATCATGTGAATATAAATAGACCGCTCTGTGACAAAGAAGTCATTCGACTCTGTCGCACCTCTCTCTCTCATCATGCCTGCGGAAGCACCCCCGGTCAAAGCGGCCAAGAAGGGCTCCAAGAAAGCCGTCGCTAAGAGCGTCAGCAAGACTGGAAAGAAGAGGAGGAAGTCCAGGAAGGAGAGCTACGCCATCTACGTCTACAAGGTGATGAAGCAGGTCCACCCCGACACCGGCATCTCCTCCAAGGCCATGGGCATCATGAACTGCTTCGTGAGCGACATCTTTGAGCGCATCGCCGGGGAGGCCTCTCGTCTGGCTCACTACAACAAGCGCCGCACCATCACCTCCAGGGAGATCCAGACCGCTGTCCGCCTGCTGCTGCCCGGAGAGCTGGCTAAACACGCCGTGTCTGAGGGCACCAAGGCCGTGACCAAGTACACGAGCTCCAAGTAAACTCTGCTGCTGACATACCAACAACACAAAGGCTCTTTTAAGAGCCACCCAACCCATCCAAAGAGCTCATCCTGTTATACTCCAGAACTACTCTACCAGAAATCTAAATAACTTAAATGTTATTTAGACATAATGTTTTGTAAAGCAAGATAAACCATGATTGAATATTGTTCATTCTTCACTATACGTGTTTATACCACCTCACTGGTGTTTGTTTTTCCAAGATGAAAATACATACATTTCACAATATGTTGGTTATTTTACTGCAATCCTGAGAGAAAATGCTAAGTGCTCGGTGTCATCCCCATGAGGCTGCGGACTGATTGTGGCACGGAGAACGGAATTATGGCTGCAATTCAGTGCACCCTACGTCACCATCACCATGACTACTACTCTGGAGCGTCCAGCCACATGTATGGCTCATCCATGACTAATCAGCGAGTCCTGGTGGTCCATATTAAGAAAGGGAAGGTAAGTGTCTGTCAGGATTATCTATTACTTGCCAACACTGTCAGACAAACAACATTTGCTTAGCTAAAGTGTATCAGTTTTTATTATAATAGATATTATAGCCTGTAGTCTATGACCCAGACTATACAAGGCCTTTCTTTAGAACTTCTTTTTGGCAGAAATAAAGTTAGAAACTGTGAACATCTAAGCGTGGGTTTTGGATTGAACAGCGGCCCCTGAGGGGACCTAGGCACTATAGGTTGTGAAGCAAATAAATGATTAAATAGACACTCAATGATTTTGTTGTTGATTTGACTGGTAACCTTTTAAAGTCATTTGTAGAATTGTTGTATATTGCTTAATAATTCACTTGAAAATATATCAATTTCTATAGGTCTCAGTTCTGGATGGAGCTATTTGCAGACCTGCTGGATACTTCAACGGGAGTCACGAGCATCAGTGCCTTCTGAGATTCTGCTTGGTTGATGTTATTCAGAAGGACTTGGATGAGTGTGTGAGCCTGTGGGACAGTCACAGGATTCGCCCTTCCAGAACAGCATCATGTCCAGGAGGAGTGCCCAATGAACTGTACTACTTGCCACACAGGTAATACATTGGTGATGGATTGATACTTTCTTTTTCTTTCAGTCTTTATTTCCAACAGATTAAAAAATAACAAATAACAAATGTGAAAAACAGAATACTGTATTGTTATAATACAGTATTTATCCACATTCATGGTAATATTTGTATATTCAACAAAAAAACAAAAAAAGTCTTCATATTAATAATAATAATAAATCACATGTGTCCGAAACGGAGCAGGAGGAAGCAAATGCTTATTCATTCCCACCCCTTACTTGATCAATGATTGTCCTTTAAATCATTATGCAAGTTATTCCTAAATACATTTATATTTATACATTTACAATCATTTCTCATCTTCAATCACCTTTCTTCATTCTCATAGATTTCCCAAAAAGTGTTTGTGTGCATCTTTTAAACTGAATGATGCTTGTGCTTTGTTTGAACTCCTGCTCCAAACCATTCCATAAAGTCACCCCACAGATTGTTAAACTCATACTTCTCAGAGTTGTTCTGACCTTGAGTTTAAGATGTAGATTTCCTCTCAGATGATACCCCCCCTCTCTGTCTACGAACAGTGTTTTTAATGTCCTAGGAAGTAGATTATGTCTGGCTCTGTACATGATTTGTGCCGTTTTAAATGTAACCAGATCAATGAACTTCAATATGTGTGACTTCAAAAATAATACATTAGTGTGTTCAAGATATCCAACATTATTGATAACTCTTATAGCCCTTTTCTGTAATGTGCATAACGGCTGTAGGTTGGTTTCGTACGTGTTTCCCCAAATCTCCACACAGTCAATCAGATATGGCAATATGAGTGTGTTATAGAGAGTATGCAATGAGTTCCAGAATGTATCTGGCTTTTCCCAATATTGCGATTTTAGCCAGTTTTGCTTTTACATGAGTGATATGAGGTTTCCAGCTGATGGTGTGCTCTCAAACCACACCAAGGAACTTCCTTTCACTCTTTCTATGTGTTATCTAGTATTAATTGTATCTGTGGATTTGTTTTATGTTTTCCAAATAACATGATCTTTGTTTTGCTTATATTTAATGATAATTTGTTTGTGTCAAACCAATGTTTTACTTTAATCATTTCTGCTGTTATCACTTCCATTAGCTCTTTCAAATTGTCACCGGAACAAAAAATATTAGTGTCATCTGCAAATAAAATACATTTCAATATATTTGATACTCTGCAAATGTCGTTGATGTATATTATGAACAGCTTTGGACCCAACACGGACCCCTGAGGTACTCCACAAGTTATGTTCATGTATTCTGATTTATGTTCACCAATTTCAACAAATGGTTGTCTGTTGCTTAAATAATCTCTCACCCAGTTTAACCCCACCCCTCTGATGCCATACGTTCCAGTTTCATCAGTAACATATTGTGATGGTGTCAAATGCTTTTTGTAAGTCTATAAATATTCCCACTGCTTGTTTTTTATTGTCCATGCAGTTTTCTATTTCCTCACTTAATTCCATTAGTGCCGTAGATGTTGATCTTTCCTGAATCCATATTGACTGTCGTCCAAAAGCTGATGTGTTTCCATGAAACTGTCAAGTCTTTTTGTAAAAAGCTTTTCAAGGATCTTGGAAAACTGAGAGAGCAATGAAACAGGTCTGTAATCTGTGTAACGGTGTTTATCCCCAGTTTTATATAATGGTATAACTTTTGCTATTTTCATTTTATTTGGGAATTTACCAGATTGAAAAGACAAGTTAAAGAGATGAGTCAATGGTTCTGCAATTTCTTCAATAATGTTTTTTACTATAATCATATTAATATTATTCCAATCGGTCGAGGATTTTCTTTTACATTTTCGCACAGTATCGATGATTTATTTTTCTTCGACTGGTGCGAGGAAGAAAGAGCTATTGTTTTCATTCCGGAGGTCCGTATCTTCCCCTTTAGTTGTTTCTACGGTTTTCTGCCAGATCTGGCCCCACATTTACAAAGATTTCATTAAAACCATTAACCACATCTTCTGTATTATTAATAACATTATTTTTGTCCACAAAAATTTTGCTCCATTTCTAATGACACTATTTTAATACTTTCCATAAACCTTTCATATTATTCTTATTATTCTCTAATATTTTATTAAAGTATTCTTTTTTACATATCCTCAGAATATGGGTTAATTTATTCTTATATCTTTTATATTTATTTTCTGCTTCTGAAGTTCTATATTTTATGAATTGTCTATATAGTGTATTTTTCTTTTTGCAGGCATTCTTTAGGCCATTAGTGATCCATGCACTGTGAGTTTGTTTGTGTCTCTCTCTGCATTGTTTCACAGGACACTTTTTGTCATAAAGTGCTTTAAAGATGTTTAGAAATTCATCATAGACCTTGTCAATATCGTCTCTCTCATATACTACCCTCCAATTCTGCTTTAGTAAATCATTCTTAAATGCAATTATGTTATCTTCAGTTCTCAATGTTTTGTATTTGAAAAGGCTGGCGACTTTCGGTTTCTTAGAACTGCAGTGAGAGACAATAAAAACAGGTAAATGATCACTTATGTCACTATATAATAGTCCGCCTACTGTATTGTTTTCCATAATGTTTGTGAATATGTTGTCTATTAACGTAGCAGAATGAGAAGTGATTCTACTAGGTCTGGTGGTTTTAGGATACAAACCCATACTGTACAAAGTATTGATGAAGTGTTCTGTCATTTTATGCTTATTTGGATTCAACAGGTCAACATTGTAATCCCAGATAAACATCATTTGTTGTAACGATTTAGTAAACATGTTTTCTACTATCTGTAAATGTGTCAATACAGGTTCCAGGAGCTCTGTACAACTCACAATAACATTTTTAGACTTTTCCATACACATGTCTACTGTAACACATTCAAACAAATGGTCAACAGCTGTTGTCATGCTCTCCACCACCTTATAGTTCATTCCTTTCTCCACGTAGATCGCCACACCCCCTCCACTCTTATTCCTTCTGTTTGTATAATTCAGTTCGTAGCCATCCATCTCAAAGTCCACACCTTTCTCAGCACTGATCCAGGTCTCTGATATTGCTTTGATGTTGAATGGGTTCTTAAACTGACTTAGATATTCTTAATGTTGAGGAAGTTGGCATCTAGGCTTCTGCTATTGAAGTGGATCATTGTTCTCTTCGGATTGACACGTTACATTAAATTGCTCTTCTGTGAAATAGTTGCAGCTGTTGTTGATGTTGTTCAGTAAGTTGTTTACCGGATCAATGTCATTTTCCATGTCCTGTGCTTTATGCTCTGTATATGCAAACGTTTCAAGTCTTGATGGAGATATGTGTATATTATCTGGAATTGTCATGGTAGTGTTTTATTCTCGTTACCTTGTCTGATTTGTTTCATTGGTATTTTTCCAGTTCCTCCAGGTCCCTGGTGATGAACACGTTGGCTTGTTCTGGTGATCCGTTAAGCTGGATGAAGATCTTGCAGTTTGCAGTCCATGGTGATTGTATTTGTTGCTGTTTCTCAGGAATCGGGCCTTTCTGGCGATCTCAGCATTTCTTTTAGTGAGGTGTTCATTCATATACATCCGAGCCCTTAAGCCGTCTTCCCTGTTTCAGAAGTTCAGTTTTCTGTTTTCTGTTGGCAAACCTTATTATTATTATTGCCGGTTTATCCGTTTTTATTTCTCCGTGGTAGCGGTTTTTATCTTAAATGTAAATGAATACATATATATGTATATATGTCTTCTGTTTAACATAGATTTGGCTCCAGGGACTGTGGATTTGAGATTGAACAGGCAACATGTGATGCTGTTCCTGAGACAAGCCTGTCTATAGCTCCATGTGGGGACCAACACATGCAGGAGTACTTGGACTTTGCTATGGAGCGCAATGACCTACAGAAGCCAGAGAACTGGGAGACTACATCAGAACTGTACATGAAGCTGAAAGAATATGCTCAGTTATAAAGTAATCGAAAAGGTATTCAGAAGTACAGTAGCACTGTTTCACCACTCCAAATCAGATTTCAGGGCTCAACAATGCTTGGTTTCATGGTTCGTCAGACTGCATTTACTCTTTCCCCTGTGATGTATCCAAATGATTATGGTACCTGTTCATCTGAAGACTGGTCCTATTTAGAAAAAAGATATTCCCATACGTTTTAAAATAAAAACAGCATTTTGAAATGAACATGGTTTCTAGCCAATCAATGTCATTTATACAGCACCAAATCACAGCAT